CAACCAATCATATGCTTATAATGTAATTTGCATTTTAATTATGAAATTTCCAAAGATTATCAATTAAAAATATAAGTTTTATTACTATTGCCATTATTTCAACTAAAAGTACCATCATTATTATTTCTATTATTATTATTCTTTACGTGAACTTTCATATAAATGCAAAAAAATAATTTTACAAAATTTTTTTCTCAGGAAAATGTTTTATTTGACAGAATGCCATAAGCAGTAGGATGTATACAAACACCAGAACACAATGACATTCACACTTAAATGATTCCCCTATGCATAAAATGTGTGTGTTGGTGTTAGTGTGTGTGTTTGTGTGTGTGTGTGTACTATGTATGTGTGTGTTTGTGTGTGTTTGTGTTTGTGTGTGTGTGTCCGTATGTGTGTACGGTGCGTTGTAAGACTTTTCGATCCTGACCTAACATGCTTTCGAACCAGGTCAGCGTGAGACAACTATAAAACAACAACTCCAGACATGACACTCTCACACTCAATGTTAACACTATGACCTTTTCATAATGTTGCCACTGCAGTTAATTTGCTACTTCATCTCGAGCTTCGTGATGGTGTAACTGGTAAGGTACTTGCATCTGCTTTTGCTGTTACTGGGTTTGAATGCTTAAAAATTCCACTATAATTCATACATTCGTGTGTGTGGCTACGCGTCTTTTGTGTATGTTTGTTGTTGAAATTTCTGAAAACTACATAAGAGAAATACTTATGAAAATTTCAAAAATATAAACCTCATGCGTAAGAGCATTAATCCATCATATCATCCAAGAATAGCTTTAAAAGCTGTATTTTATGCTGCTCTCTGGATTTCATTAAATGATAATTTCAAATTCTTTTGACGAATCTCATATTCTCAACAGTTACAAATGAAAGACAACCACACATTGAACTTACATACACGTAACCCAGCGGAGTGTTAAACCACACATTGCATGTGACGAGTGGTGATCTAAAAGAATAAAATGTTAAAATCTATTTTAATATAGATGTATTGGTTAATATCCGCGACTAGCCATACCTATGTCAGAAATATTTGTCCAGAATAAAAAAAAATGTCATGCAGATGAAATGAAACAAACAGCAGACCGCACTGAGAGGGCACTTCATCATTGGGTTTCAAAAAGTTCATCTCAACAGTGTCCTAAATTTTCAACTATGACAAAAAAATAATCTGTAAAAAAGTCATTTAAAATATTTAGTAAAAAAAAATAAATCACGAAACGGTTTATTAATAAAGTAAGAAGATGGAATTAAACAAAAACAGAAACATGAAGAATGAAAAAATTGCCAATGGGGAGTTTCAAAACAAATTTTGTAATCCGGGCTGGCGAAGCAAGAGAGTCGTTAACTGCTTATCTAGGTTGACATTAAACTTTAATCCGCCACTAAAAAAAAAAAGCTGCAGTTACAGTACCTAAAAACTATATTTATACAAATATACAACACAGGTGGCAATACTGCCACCTGTGTTGAAGCTGGATGCAATATATACGAACCTTTAACATGTTGGGAGTGTTATTTTCAAATCTTATCACAAACTATTTCTGTATTATTAGTATGGTAAAGTTGTATTTTTCATAAATATTGAAAACTCAATTTATAAATGGAAATGTTGTCTAGAATTAACATTGGAAGGGTTTTCAGTTGATTTAGAGTTAAGTCGTTAAAAGACAGCAAAGACTTACTTAAATGTTATTTGAAAAAATATTTATTTATGCACAAATAATAAACGTGTGATATAGATGTAACACACACACACATACACACTCACACACTCACACGCACACATTACATACAATGCAAGTAATTTAAACATACTCGCAAAGCCGCACACAAACAGACACACAGACACAGACAAACACACACAGTCACACACACACCACAAAATCGCACACGCACGCACGCACACACAAACACACACAGTTACACTCAAACTCACACATACAGGATAAACCAATACATAATCCAATTCGGAAAGCAAGCTGCTCGACAACGACAACATCATCAACAACGATTCAAATGCCTATCATCCACACCAAAGAAAAACAGGTATTTATCGCATTTTTGTCGCGTCCGCCATCATCGTAATCTTCATCGCCATAGTCATCTTCATCTCCATCATCATCTTCATCATCATCTTCATTATCATCGTCATCTTCATCATCATCTTCATCATCATCTTCCTTATCATCGTCATCTTCATTGTCATCGTCATCATCATCTTCATCATCATCTTCCTTATCATCGTCATCTTCATCTTCATCGTATCTTCATTGTCATCTTCATCTTCATCGTCATCGTCATCTTCATTGTCATCGTCATCATCATCTTCATCCTCAATATCGTCATCATTATCATCATCCATATCATCATCATTATCATCATCAATATCGTCATCAAAGTTCTCATAACGGAGCTCATAACGCATTAAAAATCAATACTGAACTGGCAGGTAATGAAACACACTGCCTCGCTC